CATAGCGTAGGGGTTCACACCCACCGCCTAGACCACAGGGTCGGCCTCCAGTGGTACATCTTGATTTGAGGGCCGCCACAGCCAGACATGTTCGCTAGTTGAGGTTTGTTGAGTTTGACGTGTGGTTCCCTCCGAGGAGGGATGAGAGAGTAGCAGAGGGGTTCTACACGCCACTGTAGGAGGATTTCTACAATGCTTATCTCAACAGTGGGGCAATGTTCAGATCTTAGAGAGTCTGTAGTATAGAGTCTATTATGGCAGCAGCCGGAGAGCATATCCGCCCCTACTTGTCATATTTGCCGAGGCTCACAGATTTGATTGGCCGGATAGGAGTATATGTACTATCTTGGGTTTGACAGTTCTACGCATCGCTCTATGTTGACCCACATCATAACTTCATTCACTTTGCATTCAACGGTAGAGATTACAGGGTGATGAGTTTCAGGGCCCGGGAGATACTGAGGCTATAGGATCAGCCTGTCAAATTGCATGAGGTGTGTTATGGATAGCAGGAGCCTCCCAGGCGTCCTCATGGAGGGTTGGTGCCCCCTACTGATCTTGTGCGCCATTGCTTCAAGGAGCCCTTTGGTGAGGGGTCGAGGAGGAACCCCAGTGACCTGACTCCTACAACTCGAGTACTAAAGGCTATTATTAGGAGGACTCTACTTCTTCGGTTGGGATACAGAGAGGGTCTGACTCGCCTACAGCTCTGGCTCCTTAATGCCCTGATGCAGCAGACCGTGTTCGACATTTGGGACCTCCTTCTATCAGAGATGGAGGATACTATAGCTGAGGGTTTCAAGGGTCGCAGGCAGCTTCCTTATGCACATTGGATCACATTCTTGATGCTCAAGTCTGTGCAGGTCAGGACCCCAGAGATGGTTGCTGAGTACAAGGGTGCCACTACTGAGTTTCCAGCTTATAACATGGCACAGAGGATCAGGCATAGCACACCACAGGCACCTACTCGGCCCAGTCGTCGTCTAGATGTTCCAGAGTCAGCAGCTCAGCAGGACGAGATTATCAGAGGCATAGCCGCTACTGAGGAGGAGGAGCTTGAGGCACAGCAGGAGATGACCGAGTCCAGTGACAGTTCGGATGATGACTATCAGTCGATTCCTCATATGCCTCCACGTAGACATGATGCAGAGGCCGGCAGTTCTAGCTCAGCTCCACCTGCACGCAGCGGACCCCACCTTGATTGCTATTCTTGAACGGATGCAGCAGGACCAGTCACGACAGGCACAGGAAACTGCTGCCAACTTTGTACAGTTTCAGGCTCGTCAGGACGAGTTCCAGCGGCAGCAGCAACTTCTTCAGCAGCAGCAGCAGCAGATGCATCATCAGCAGTTACTCATGCAGCAATAACTTATGGGATTCATGCAGCATGTAGTAACAGCACTTGGGGCTCCACAGCCACAGCCTTCGCCCTAGCTTGCTCAGCCTGCCACCACTACGACGACTCCAGCAGTACAGCCCAGTGGGCTTCAGAGTCAGGGACAGCCTCCAGCTCCTTTTGCTTCACCCACAGTTCAGGTGTCCCAGTGGTTATCCTCACCAGTGGTTGCCCCACAGTTCACACCATATCATACGGGCTTCTCACTAGATCAGTCTTCCTCGCTTTTTGTGCCTGACATGTCAGTCTCCAGGAGTATTGGAGCATCCTTCAGCGAGTTGACCGGCATGCCTACACCGCCTCATATGCATGCTGCCGGTCCTTCTACAGCAGCTCCTGTCATCGTGACTACTCAGAGGCTCCCTTCTTCTGTCGCATCTTCAGATCCTACGACAGATATTCTTGTAGCTTCACAGGCAGCACCTACCCCAGATCAGACCCAGACCGCTTCAGCGACACTTCCTGCCATAGAGGGTCAGTCCGTACAGAGCTCAGGGTCAGATGATGATGGCGCCCAGTTCTAGCTTGCCCCTCATACCTCAGCGCCCGGCTCGTCTGCTGCAGCCCCGCCGACCGACCCTTAGGTTTTGGTGTTTGACGCCAAAGGGGGAGAGGGTTCGAGTATGTAGACTCAAGGGGAGTGTCGTTTAGGGGGGAGCTTGTTATCTAGTATTAGCTTATTATATACATTTGGAGTTTTATTTGTGTGATACACTATTACTATTATGCATTCGTGTGTTACGTTCATGCATACTATTATATCTATGTGATAGTGATATCTACGTGATTGTGATATATGACATGTGTGCTTTCTACTTTACTTTATCTATATGTCATATCACTTGTGTTATGCTCATTTGCCTTTGCTTCCGCGTTTATACTCCGATGCAAATGAGCTTTGTTACTAGTACTCATGCTTAATTCATATCCTTTGAGTACATTGTGTTGGCTTGGGTCATATAAGCTTGACTAACACTTTTGTTCTTATCGACAAAAGCTTATATGAACCAAGTTCGTAAAAAACCTCACTCTTTCTCATACTCGAGGTGGTATTGTCATCAATCACTAAAAAGGGGGAGATTAAAAGCATCTAGGCCCTTAGTTAGGTTTCGGTGATTAATGACAATACAAGATTACTATGACTAACGTGTGTTTTGTAGAGGCAATAAAGTTAGGTCATGGTAATGGAGATCGATTGGGCAATCGAGGTGGTCATGCCCCTACGATGGAAATCATTTCGGTTTTCAAAGGATGGACGACAAGGTTAAGGATGACTAGTTCTAAGTGTCGATTGGAGTTAGAGCGACACTTAGAGTAGTTTAGGACTTTGTTTTTTTCCTTTGGCTGTACTATTAAGGGAGGTATGGACGGGTAGCTTGACCTAGATGAGTCTAGTGAGTTAGGTGTGGTGCACACTTGTTAAAACTAGCACTAGGTAGCTCCACAACATCCCTATGATCCTATGGAGCAAACTTCATTCACATATGTTTGAGAGTTGGAAGTGAATGGAGGGTCAACTGCTGACCGGACGCTGGCTCTGGTGCGACCGGACGCTGGCCGCAGGGTCCGGTCAGTTTATTTGATCAAGAGACTGTGTTCGGTGCGACCAGACGCTGGAGTGGTCAAGTGATCGGACGCTGAGAGGCAGCATCCGGTCGATTTCAGTAAGGTTCTAGAGAAGAGAATCTGCGACCGGACCTTGGGGGTGCAGCGTTCGGTCGAGTACAGTAAGGTTGCAGTAAGGGTATAATGCGACCGGACGCATCCGGTCAGGGGTGACCGGATCCTGCCAGCGTTCGGTCAACTCATTTTTACTGGTCTGCGGATTGAACTGTCCGGAGCGTCCGGTCAACATGACCAGAGCGTCCGGTCACCCCGCAGAGGCACATAACGGTTCGTTTTTAGGCTGCCTTATAAATAGAACCTCCACTCGTGTGTGGAGTGACTTTTGCTCATTCCAACAGCTGAGAAACACGTTTGTGAGTGCCAAGAAGAGCAATGTCCTAGTGAGGTGATTGAGATTTGAGAATCCAAGAGAGTAGCCTCATTAGTGAATGAAGAGTAGACAAGTGTGCATCCATCTTCTCATTAGGCTTCGCGTGGTCAAGTGAGAGTTCGTGCTTGTTACTCTTGGTGATCGCCGTCACCTAGACGGCTTGGTGGTGATTGGGAGCTTGGTGATCATCCGGCGGAGCTTGTGGGTGACCCAACTCAAGTTGTGAGCGGCTTTGGGTGATTCGCCGCGACGGAGTGTCGAAGAATCAACCCGTAGAGAGCACTTGATCCTTGCTCGGATCAAGGGGGAGCTACACCCTTGCGCGGGTGCTCCAACGAGGACTAGTGGGGAGTGGCGACTCTCCGATACCTCGGCAAAACATCGCCGCGTTCCTCTCTCTCTATTTACTTTGAGCATTTACTTTGAGCATTTGCTTTGAGCAATTCAATACTTGTCTTTACATTCATAGAATTGCCATGCTAGAGTAAGTTTGGAACATAGGTTGCTAGTCCGTTGTGAGTTAGTTTCTTAGAAACACTTTTCTAGGCACAAGGGGTTAATTGGGCCAACCTTAGGATTCAATTATTGCAAGAAAATTTAGAATTAGCTCAATTCACCCTCCCTCTTGGGCATCTTGATCCTTTCACCGACGACCTACGATCGGCGACCGAGTGAAGAGCGACGTCTATGTGTTGTTTTAAGGCTCGGCATCCATGCTCACTGGGCTCGCCGTGCGCCACGCCGCGGGGCTCTGCATTGAGGCCACCAACCCACTCGCCGGCACGTAGTGGGCGCCCACCCTAATCTCATATCAGAACGCCGGAGCAAATAGGCGTGGAAAGGAACGCTAGCACAATGCAGGTAAACCCTTTTCTCCCCTCCCTTTCACGGCAGTGAAGTGGGTGTGTGACACACAGAGCTGGATGACGGCTCCAAGCAGCGCGCTTGTCGTAAGCACCGTTGCAGTACGGCGGCGACGGCTGCCTAGCCGTCGCTCTCACATCACCCACGTAGACGTAGCAACTGTATGGTTGATCGTGAGTCATTTCCATCTATCTTTGATCTCATGTCCTACCTACGTTATGGTTGTTCGATAAGATGACTCGATAGGAAGTAAATATTTTTATGTTTTGCACGGGAGAAAGAATCTAGCAAAGTTGTATCAATTTGATATAAACTTCATATGACATTGTTCTAGTATCAATTTGATATAAACTTCATATGACATTGTTCTATTATTGCCAATATTAACTTATATTATATATGACCAATTTATAAAAGAATAAAACATAGCATTTATGTTCTCATTTCCCACATATATATATATATATATATATATTATTCCGTTGTTCAATACCTTATTTTATCCCGTTGCAACGGGCATATTTACTCCTAACTAACACAGTGGGTTGTTGTCTCATCCGGCGTTGGCGCGAACTAAAAAAGAAAAAGGGCGGGAAAGCGAGCGGCACTTTGGCGCCATTCTGCGAAACCTGAAAAATAATATAATTCTAATCCCTCGTTTGCCTGCGTGCGTGTCGCATCCAATCGCTCTCCTCTGCTGTGCTCAGCCGGCGAAAGGGAAGGGAGGGAAGCAGAGGGCCGGCGATGCAGATCCAGGTGCAGTGCGGGTGCGGCGAGCCGTCGTGCCCGGAGTGGGCCGTCGTGGAGCTGCAGGGCGTGGTACAGCCGCAGGCCTCCTTCGCTGGGGACATCCGGGGACTCCACATTGGCCGCCTCTGCTCCGCCCCCTCCCCGTCATCATCTTCCAAGGCAAGAGATCTCGTTTCATTCGCTGGCCCTCTCTTGTCATCTGGTTTCTTGGCTGATCTGGAGCCTTGAGGTGCTCTCCATGTGGTAGCAGGCAGGGTACACCTTCACGGTGGGGTACCACGAGCTCGCCGGGACGAAGGTGACGCTCAAGAATCCCCTGCTGGTGCTCAGGAAGACGAAGACGAATGCTGGTTGTGGGGAACAGGAGCCACCGGAGGTGGAGCTGGAGGTGATCGGCATCATCCGGCACAAGATCCTCTTCAAGGACCGCCCCAAGGCCCTCATCTCAAGTAACCCACTGCTTTTTTCCCCACTCCATTCGCCTGACCTGAGCAGTAATAAGTAATTCTGAATTTTGTTTATCAAATAGCTGATTGCGTGATCATCTTGTCCAGAGCCGCCAACCAAGGAGAAGAAGACCCTGCAGCCTGCAGCAAAGTGACGGCACGCCAGCAACTCCATGGCCCTTGAAGCTCCCTTGGTTTGGCTGTGTTCCCTGAATATTGCGACTGTTCTAGTCATGACTGGTTTCGTTGATAGTTGTCCATTGTACAAGTTTAAGGATGTTTCCTGAAAAAAAAAAGTTTAACGATGTTCACTTGTACTGTCTGTTTCTTTCTTGGTGCATGTCACCGTCGGCATTGAATCGCAGCTGGTACAACATTTCGGTATTCGTCTCGAAGCAAATCAACAACAAACAGAACAAGAAAAGATCTAAGGAAAGACTTAATCCGCCATCACATATTCTTAAATATAATCTGAAAATATGTCCTCTACAATTGCCCATGCCCACATATTATTATTACTCACAGCAATGGTCATTCCACGCTTTCTATGGAGCTATCCTACTTCCAACTAATTCCAGCCTTTTGCAATCAGGGTATGAGAACCCCTCCAAAATTTAACCCTGAAAATCTTGCATATTTCCTGTTCCAAATTCATAAGGCATGCGTCATGATTTCCGCCTCCTGTTGCTAGGATCTGTGGCCAAAGGCAATGAGTCTCGAGAAGGTCCAAATATATGTCCTCAGTTTTCGGTGGCCTGCTTCCAAAACTGGTTGCAACATCCCTTTCAGAACTCTCTCTGGTCTCCTTGAGCTTCAACTACAGGTTCTGATTTCCTGGAAAATAAGTATAATGAATAATGATCAAACATAATCAATGGAAAACTACAGGTTTTACAAGCTAGCAAAGCTGTACTCCTGGAGGAAGCAAATAAGCCTTCTTTCAGGAAGTCTCATGGTATCATAGAACGACAATGTCCAACCAATGTAGTAAATGTTGTTGTAATGACTAATACATGGTGTACCTGAAACTAAACATCATCACGATCTACATTTGATGCATCTAGTGGTTCGGGTATTCCTGCAATTCTAAGTGGCCTGAGATCATAGAAGGAATTCGGTTTGAACCAGGACAGAGAGCCCAGTGACAGGTCTGATGTAGTGGTTCGGGTATTCCATCTCAAGCTTGAAGATTCCATTGCCACTGATGACGGATCCATTGGGATTCCCTTTGGTCCAAGAATTTAGGTTGCATGGTCCGTGTGGTTCAACCAATCCAAACGGTGTCTGTATGAGACATGGAAAATGTACAAAGAATTATCCAATAAGCCATTTCGACCGGAAACATTATTTGATTTGGCTGGATATCCCTTTTTGTATAGACGTTGAAAGTGTACAAATAATTGTCGTATCTAGTAGCCTTAATTAAGAGCTCATCGCGTTGATGGCGTCCTAATCCTAGGGCCCTCTCGAAAGTAGAGTTCTTTGGTCGTGATTGTTTTCTTTTGTCATGAATGTTCTCCGCAGGTCAAGTTCGATGCCACGTTCTCTGTGGTTGGATCAAGCGTTCCACGGCCAGCCATCCATAGGAATTAGGATGGACACTTGTAATGTTTGTTCCTTTGTAGGTGGCCAGGCCTCAGCCTTATCATTATCATTGCGATCGAGCAATGTCACTGTCGCTACGGAATCATAGCCAGGACAAGTTTTCGATCTCTCTCTCTCTTGAAGCGTTTCAAAGAAAAATTGGCAAACAAGATGCAACAGCAGATTATTAATTTTACATTCTTAATTTCACTGCCATGTTCAATCATGATGCTAAATTTTAGGGCCTTTTCAAAATCTCATTCGATTTTCTTTTGGAATCTCATGCCCATTTTTATAACCACGAGATCCTTGTTAGATCTCTATCCGGTGCTTATCATATACCCCATTAATTTCAATTATAAGACGTTTTGCTTTTCTATCTAGATATATAAATTTTGCTACGCACTTAGATATACACTATATCACATAATAAAAACAATGTACTAGAGAAACCAAAATGTCTTATAATTTAGAATAGAGATACTTCTCCCTCCAAAATATATCATGAGTTCATGACAATTAGTCCAGAGCGCTGCTGCTGCAACCGAACTAGGTTTTGTTTCAAGAGACATCATCAAAAATATCAAAGCAAGAATAGTATAAATCCAAAAATGAAATGGTCAGCCCTTTCGTCTTTGCTTAATCAGCACCACCGAACAAAGATTTTTTTTCCATGACAACAGCAGATGTTGCCTTGCTATCATGAATCACGGAACGTCGTCATCACATCATTAAAATTTATGGTATCCAACGTGGACATGTAACCAACTATATATGGACCACAGGGTCTGCAGCTGAGCTCATTCCATGCTGGAACTGTGGCCAGAAATATATATTCTTAAAAATGAACAGACATGCTCCACATAATGGAGCAGCCTAATCCGGTAATCCCCCACCAGCCACCATGTATATTCTTAAAAGAATCTGAAAAGATAGTCCTGTATAATTGTTCATATTTACAGCCGCCTCCTATTCACAGCAATGATCTTTCCACCATTTCTAGGGTAGGAATCATATCTGGAGCACAACTACAGCTTCTATGGAGCTATCCTACCTTCAATGGATCCCGTCCTCTCCGTTCCGTGATCCGTGTAGGAAAATGACTCCTGTTCCAGCCTTGTTGATTTGGCGTCTTTTCTAGTCCCAAAATTTTAAGACTGCTCTACAATTTTTGTGCATCCTATGACACAAGTTAAGATTTATTCCCCTTTTTCTTGTCCCTGGGTTCAGAAACCAAGTGGTGGCTCTCCAGAAGATCTGAAAGCTTAATCTTCCCACAGTTCCCTGTGTCCAGCCTCTGGAATTGATCACAGATCATCATGATATCTTTTTCAGAAATCTTCCCCATCTCCTTGAGCTTGTAAACAACAAATTCTGATTTCCTAAGTAGAATAAGCAATGATTACATGTTAGTCAATTCAGCAATTATGACAGTTTTAAAAGGATGGAAGCTGCACTCTGGGCAGAAATAAATAAATCATGTTCCAAAAAACAGATAACAAAAATCCTTGCTATTACAGAATGATAGTTATTATGGTAATTTTCTGATGATGAATATCGGGTGTAGCTAAAAAGTGTATCTGGTGTGGCTTTGCATAACTGACAGCATTAGACAGTAGGTCAGTAGCAGAACAGAGGGGTGGAGACCATAATAGAAAGAAATATTCGCAGACAATTTCATAAGCGATCCAGGGGGAAATCCTTCCACACTTTGGACAAGTTATTGAAAGTACAGCATATAAATTCTGAAAATAAATGCAAGCACCAACTAGAATATTTAGAAGGCTGCCATACAGGCTGGCAAAATCAATGAGCTGAGGTACCATTTGTATGGCCCTATGTATATATTTTACAGATTACTATATCCTAGGGTTGACATGCCATGCTGAGAGAAAATTGAAAGATCTAAGCATTCTGCATCATCCTAAAAAGAGCAAAGCTTCCACGTTTTCTTTGTGGGCATGCTATATGGTTTTGGATCCTGCTAAATGCAAGTGGTGATGTATGTTAATTAATCTACACAAATCAATCTGACACATCAAGCACACATTAAGTTCAAAATGCAGCAAGTATGGCAGCAAATTGAAGCAAAATCAACTATTAATCAGATTTAACATAAAATCAATACTATTAAATGGGTGGTAGCAAAATTAAAAAAATGAGGAAAAAAATAATGATATTTCTTTATACTGAAAAGAAGCCAACTCAGGGATAATCGAATGAATCAGGGGTCAAGTTTTTTTAGGGATAACGCAATGAATTACACAACCACTACCAAAATAGTTAAGTGGAGTGTAATAGCATAGAGAACACAAGAAAAGCTTGAAGTATAAGCTATTCTAATATAAATTTACTAGAGCTAACTAGCTAAGCAGAAAGAATTTCATATTCAAGAAAAATGAAAATGGCTGATAATACTCTTTCTATGTGTTGGTTAAAAAAAATTGAAAATGTGTGCATAAAGCTTATAAAGTGCTTCTCATGTTTCACAATAGTCAATTTTTAGCCCAACTATCTCTGACAAAGACCAATGATATATACAATAATGTCAACGATGACTAGATGTCAGACCTAGTCCACTTTCATTAAGTGAAATGCTTGTACCAGTTAGTTATCACATCTTGAAAATAGGGTGGCAGCCTAGCAGGTAGCAGGTGAAGATTGCACCAAGTACAGTACTGTGCCCTTGATCTCATCCTGAACTGGCACCATTGAATGATTTTTCAAGTGGTTATACATTCTGAGCAGTAGGAGTATGAATCATCTATATATTCCAAATATTCAAAGCTTCCAAATTACCATAAACATTTTCAAAACAACTATCTAGGAATATATGTATATTTGTCAAACTGAATAAACACCTAAATGAGAGAAATTGCACAACACAAGTCATTCATTAACATTTACAGTAGCATTGTCATACCACCAGTTTTAAAAGAAATCTAGGATTCACCAGACGCTTAATATAATAGAACAGAAATATGATACAAGAACATGATCTATGAGAGCATAAAAGTAAAGTTCATGGGTTTTCCTAAAATGGCACAAAGGACATCCTCTCTTACATGGTCAATATCTACAATTCTACATAAGCATTAAGCAATTTATTCTAAATTTACCTGCCATGCTCAAGAGTTTGACAAAGTGTCAAGACCCATTCCATCTGTTTTTTCTATGTTATATTTGTGCCACAATTGCATTCCATATTATTTTCGGCCGTGGACTATTATTTACAGATATTGCAAGACAAGAACAATTCATTCCACAAACACATCTACATGATAAGTTAGTTAATTGTTGCCTTTTCTGTCATCAAAATAGAGGTTTCTCTGTCAAAACACATAAGCATCATAAATTGTATACGCTATTGTACATTCCTCCACTAGCTATATATTCAAATGAACTTCTTCAGATCTTATATTTCAATTTATTTTGGCAGTGTGATATTGCAAAAATATTTAACCAGCCTCCAAACACCACTTCTTCATCCTTTTAATATGGTATTCGACAGAGATCATATGTCAACAAGCTGAGGTCTTGCTCCGTTTTGATTTATTCTTTTTTGTTTAAT